CATGACACAAATAATCCACATAAGTGAGGTAAACAGGAAATCGAAGGTAACAAACAAACAAAAAAATCTTCTAACATTGGACATTCTGCCATTTAACCTCTGTCCAGCTAACAAGTCTTCAGAAAGAATCACATCTCTTACTGAAGGTGTTGTATTAACACTATGAGTTTGAGCTAAAACAACAGAAATATTCTGAGTCTCCATTTAAAACTACTGTCGCATTTTTTGAATACTACAAAGCAAATTTCTACTGATAGTATAGTGTAAATATGATCTGTGGGACAATAAATTTTTAGTTATCTGCAAAACTGAATTAATGTTTACTTACAAATATCAAAAGGCGATTGTACATTCTGAACCTCTGACGGATTGAAGTTCACAATAGCATTTTCTTGTTCAGGAGTGGTCATTTTTTATGATAAGCTGACAAAGGGTTTTCAATAAAGTAAACAATTTATTTTTAGAATTTGATTAACGTTTCATATTATTTCTATAACTATACACTTTAGAAAAATACAGATTCAATCAAAACTATTGAACATTATTCACGTCATAATTTTAGGTTCACTTTTTTAGTTTTAAGAAAAACATAGGTTTAAAGTTTTTCTCGGCACAGATGATAAACGTCAAAACATTATTGTTTGTGACATGACATGTGATGACATATTCTCCATCCATTAGTTACAAAAATACTGGCCTTCTAACTTACTGCTTATACAGCTATCATCGTAATACCAACTGATTTTTTAGAATCTTATTACTTATTTTTAACTTTATTTAATTTATAATTAATTAATTTTAATTAAAGACGTTTTTTTTACATTTGGTCCCAATGAAGATCGCCTCAAATGGGTTTGACAGAATGAAATATTGGTGTTTAGCGTTTGGCAGTGGTGAGATTTAAATTTCAAATGAAACATACGTAATCAAAAGCAATAAGTTATTTAACTATTGCCAAATTTATCCGCTAACCTATCAAAGGACAATTGCCAAAAAATTTTTCTAATAATTAATTGCAATTATCAAACGAAACAAATATTAATTCATTAATATTTTATATAAGATATTAAATTGCAGAATGCATAAAATAATATGTATATTTTAAACAGTGGCGCACCTCGAATTTTCCTGTGGGGGGTATTGGTTGGGCACCGAAATTATTTTAAGTCCTTAAAATTTGTGAGGAGTAACAGTGTCGGAATAGTGTCCTGGGTGGGGTTTTAACCCCCAAAACCCATCCCCGGGTGCGCCACTGATTTTAAAAGCTTTACTTCTTTGTATTTGAAGCATATACCATGTCGCCAAAATACACAATCTCGACAAAGATTGTTACTTTGGCCGGCCAATCACAGCGCTCGTTATTAATTCGCTGTCATTGGCCTCTCGGCGGAGGAGCGCTGCGAATTCTCAATTACTAAACGTACAAAAGAGCAGCGCACGTTCCGATCGGGACTTTAGTACAAAAAAACCACAAAAAACACAAAAAACCGACCTCGGCCACAAAAAAAAAAATACTAACAAAAACCGGCTTCGGCCACAAAAAAAATTAACAAAAACCCCAAATCCCGGGCACGTGGGGCCCAACCCCTTGAGCACCAAGTCGCCGAACTGAGCCGGGACAGAGCGGAGACTTGAGGTCCAAGTAAGCAATTTTAGTTCGCGGATAAGCCACATTAAGATAACAGGAATATAGCGGAGATGCGCTGTCCTGAGTTTTTTGCATTCGGTTAGGAAACCATGTTGGGGTTCTATTACCCAGGACCTCCACATGAAGAGCATTTGGCTGATTGTTGTGCCTCTATAGCGCATCAGAGTGCTATAGGGAGGAAAGGGATGGTCTAGAGCATTGGAGCACGGTGGGGTGACTCCTGTTTATACTCGAGTTAACACACCTTGCTCCAATGAATTGTTACACCCGATCGTACTACCTGGGTGAACATTTCTCATAGGCTGGGTTCAATTAAATTGCTTGCTTGCTTGATCGGGACTTTAGTTGTCAGACACTTCGAGCCCTACTAGACCTTGTTGGTTAGTGGTGCTTCCTAGTAAAACTGTTGTTTCATTATTAATCCAAATATCCAAATCGTCCTTACGTCGACTTTTAACGATTACACCGACTTCGAAGATCAGCGAGTATTTCCAATCCAGACGTCGAAGATACCTGAAGGCATCATTCGTTGTCTGCTATTATATCACAGTGCACGAAAGCCGAGTATCAGCTGTAGAATCGCTCCCTGTCAGAAACATACGCTTTTTGAAATAGAAAAACAGTATTTTTAAAACTATTACAAATTGCGTCGAACTGACACCGACGATTTATCGAACAACGACGGTGAATACGAGGAGAAGTCTCGACGGAGACTTATATTCGATTTCACCGCTCCGAGTCAAGCCACGACGACGCTTCGACACTTTGAACCTTATGCATTTTTCAGTAATTAGTAAACACTGGTAAAACTGATAGTGCGAAAGGTGGTGTACAAAGCGACGGGCTATTGCAGAGCCGATACAACGGGCATTTTTGTGCCTCTTTCTAGGAGACAGAACGCGGCGATTCCTGATAAGAAGGAAACCGACATCTCTGCAATTTTGAGGCATATACCACGCAACAGAATTCTAACACATATTGTCATTGTAAGAAATATATTATCATTGTAAGAAAGCTTGAACTGTTAGAGAATTCTGTTTGCCGGTGTCACCTCGCTTGTTGCAGAGGCTCGATAGAGCTTCCTACACGAATAAGCCGGTATCTGTACCAACTCCTATACGAAGATGGATCATCGCAATACGAGATCATCTTCAAGAGCAGCGGTCGCTGAGCGTCCAGAAACTCCAGATAACGGAGAGGATGCTACGGCCGTACGACATCCATAACATTTTAAGTACATGGCAACACTGCCAACGCAATATTTCGATCTGTGAAACATAATTGACAGCTAATTTGAGGCTACCTTCACTGGAACCAAATGTGAAAATGAAAAACGTCCTTTAATTAATTATTAATTAGTTTTAATTCTTGAAGTCAAGGTTTTCGACAGTCTCTATCCATTTTTGGCGTCTAGCTCTATCTGTGTTGTGTAAGAGCAAGAACACCTCTTGCAGTTATTAGTGGTCTATAATTGGTATCTTTTGAGACAAAGCATAAATCTGGGTTATATCATTTTCTCCATACAGCTCATTTAAATGTTTCTCTGTCTTTGGCATCAAAAGATATGGGTAATGTGTTTTTTTTATCTTGGAACCATTCGACCAGTGCCTCCCCATTATCATCATTCGTGGTATACTTTCACATTTCATGGTGGCTGTTAAACTTGCCTATGTATATAAGTAGGGCGTGGAAGAGTCTCTATCACTTCTGCTTTTCACATAGTGGCTGGGAATTTATATATGTTAACTACGGTAATCTCTCCAATTTTGGGGACTACTTCATGTTCGTTGTTTTCATTGGAAAAAGCAAGCAGGAACCAATTTTTTTTATATTCCTTCGAATATAGGTTGCGACCTGGTAATGCTTATCGTAAGGTATCTTTCCTCTTAAATTAAGCTGAACTTTGTCTTTAGCATGGTATGGCTACCAAGTCAACAGTCAATGTCGTTATAGCATACGATGTCTGGTAGATGTGTGGTACTTTGGCAATAGCCTGAGAAATCAGGACCGTACGTGCTTCGTTTCAAAAATTTTTACTTATTAATTTAACTGAGTTATATAAGAGAGTAAACAAAAAAAAACAAATTAATTGTATAAATAATGCCTGTATATATAAAATATCTAATATAAATAATAAAGGATTGATTACGGCTGTCGCCGCTTCTCCGCCCTCAATTTCCATCTTATTCTGTCATATGCAGTTGCCTCTTCTAAGTCTCTTGCCGCCATTGCTTCATCAATATCGTTGCGCCAACTTCTCCGTAGTCGTCCTATCTTTCTTCTTTCAGGAGAGATCCATTCCAGTACTCTTCTAGGCCATCTGTACTCTGGCATTCTTTTATCTGTCCGAACCAGATTAATTGTTTTCTTTCTATGTCATCATTTATATTCCGCTCCATTTTCATTTCGTTTCTTATTTGTTCATTTCCAACTCTCTCCAGTTTCGATCTACCGCAACTTCGTCTCAGATAATTAATTTCTGTCGTCATAAGTTTCTTTCTATTAGCTTTGGTGACGTCCCATACTTCTTGTGTTTTTTGGTTTCTCGTCGAATTGTTTTTTGCCAGAGAAGAGAGTTTAAGGAACGGGTCGCTGCTGTGCCCTTGTTTATTCTTTCACTGATTTCTTCTTCTTCTTCTAGTTTCATGACTGTTATCGATCGTTGGATATCATGTTGGCTACCATATTCGCTATCGTGACTTTATTGACAGCAGCTCTAAATAACGATGTAGTTGATTTTCCATACCATTGCCTTAGATTTTTCAGCCATGATGTCCTTCTTCTACCAGGACCACGATTACCTTGGATCTTTTCCTGAATGATCAGATGTAAAAGATCATATTTTTTAGGTTGTCTCATAATGTGACCGAAGTATTACAGCTTGCGTTTCTTTATTATATTGACCAGTTGTGTTGTTTGGTTCAGCCGTCTAAGGACCTCCTCATTTCTAACTTAAAGGACAGGAAAGATGTAGCAAGATGTCATTCGAACTCTAAGGTCAATGCTAAGATCGTGACTGCAAAGTACGTTTCTCATTTTTACAAAGGCAGCTTGCAGCTTCTTGTTCTATTCGACTTTTAATTTCTGCGGTTGGATCCCAGCTCTCATTGATATTACTGCCATTTATTCTCATTGATATATATATATATATATATATATATATATATATATATATATATATATATATATATATATATATATATATATATATATATATATATAATAACTCTAAATATTTGTTTATTATATTAAATTACTATTATACCTTCGACCAGGAGAATGATCAGGCTGATTTAGTTTCGTAAGTAAGTGGGTGGACAGAATAATTATTTGGTCATGTAGAGTGTCATGTAAAAATTATTTAATAATTAACTGTTGATATCTTTCCTTGGGTTTGGTCTCAGAACCTAAATATTTTTCCTTACCTGCTTTCGTTTCTAGGGTTTCTTAATTTTCCTCTTAAACCCCAAAAAATTAAGTGGCGCCCTGTTTCTATCTTATCTTTTCATTGATATTTTACCCATCTATCTTTTTGTTATTTCTGTATCTTTTCTAATATATCTTATCCTGTCCTATCTTTACTTATTTCGTCCGTTGGACACATTCCCGGTTTCAAAAGCTAGTTTCGAAGCCACGACTCACTCTCCACCAACCATCTGGCTGCCGTCCGCAGCGTCTCCATTGGTGATCTTTCTAGCACAATACAAAAAAGGTTTTCGAGGTTACAAAATCTCAGCAGATAATGTGGTCAGTGAAGTTTCCATATTCTGACAATTTTTTATGGACATTTTTTCAATCATTCGTCCGTTTTTTCATTAGCGTTGTTTGCTTGGGAAATAATTTACAGACCTAATAGTACAGGAAGTTGTTGATTTCACTATAGTCCAACCAATTTCATTTAACTTTTTCTAATAATAATCTTTACAATCAGAATTGCTTGGTTTTTCCTGCTGGTCTAT